CTAACAAAACTGTTTATAAGACATTTTTAAAGTCCTCAAGGATGGTTTTGGCTCAATTAAAATCTGATTATTTGGTCCCTAGGATCTGAAATGAGCTATAAAAGTAAGAGAATTGACTTTATCAGGTTTCATGTTTCCTCCCTTCTCCAACCCAAGAAATTAACTCTTCACCAGACTGACAAATAGCCATTGCATCTGGCTTAACATCATCATAAATCTATGCCCCTCCATAATTGCTCTTTTTAATGAACCTGTGTGGTCTGAGATCACAGTCAGTACTGTTAACAATTCTTTACCTAGTACAGTGACTGTTACATAATACACACTCATTTGTTGAAGGAAAGATGATGGCTGGAAAGATGGATAATCATAATTATAACCATAATCATGGTAGTAGACGTTATCAATATTCCTAAAATACTGATGAGTGATATATCATCCACAGCAGCACCATTCACTGTTTACATATAACTAGTACTAAGAAGTTAATATTTAGATATTCATATGCAAAAAACCTCAACCAATACTTTATATCTCATACAAAATTTACTCTAAATGGATCATAGACTTAAATGTTAAACTTTTTTAAAACTATAAAACTTATAGAAGGAAATACAGGAGGAAATCTCTGTGACATAGATAAGGCAAAGATTTTTTAGATACAATACCGAAAGCATGATCTATGAAAGAAAAATCAATGAATTGGCCTTCATAAAAATTCAAAACTTCTACTTTACAAAGGAATGTTCAGAGAATGAAAAGATAAACCACAACTGAGAGAAAATATTAGCAGAACACATATCTGACAAAGGACTTGAAGCCAGAACATATTAAAGAATTCTCAAAGTGAGATACTAAGCAAATTAATTACTCAATTTAAAAAAAAAAAAAAAACGGGCAAAAGATTTTAGAAGATACTCCACCAAATATATACTGATGGCAAATATGCATATGAAAAGATGCTCGACAAGATTAGTTATTATAGAAATTCAAATTAAGGGTAGAATGAGAAAAGACCTATTTAAATGGCTACACTTTAAAAGACTGGCCATACCAAGTGCAGTGAGGAAGCGGAGAAAGTGTACTCCTCGTGCACTGCAGATAGGAATGTAAAAAATGTTAAAGTCGCTTTGGAAACGTTTGGCAGTCTCTTATAAACATACATCGATCATATGACCTGCAATCGCACACCTAGATATTTACCCAAAAGAAATGACTTCCATGTACCTAAAAATTTATCCACAGATATTTATAGCAGCTTCATTCATAGTAGCTCCATACACACTGTAAACAACGCGAATGTCCTTCAGCTAGTGAATGGATAAACCATTTGTGGCCTATCTGTACGATGAAATACTATTCAGCAATAAAAAGGAAAGAATACTGCAAAACGTATATATGACAACGTGGAGTAACTTCATGAATTATGCTAAAAGACAGACAGAGACTCGAAAGACTACATACTGATACTGCACGATTCCATTTAAATGACAGTTTGGCAATGACGAAATTATTAGAACCGAAAACAGATCAGTGGTTGTCAGGTTAGGTGTGGGTACAGGGGCGGGTTGGAAAGCGGAAACGTGTGACGTAACTGCTTTGTATCTTGACTGTGGTGGTAGTTACATGACTGAATGAACATGCCAAAGCTCAAAGAACTATATGCGAAAGGAGCAACATCTATGGTAGGGAGAGTTTAAAAGTAAATATATGTCACATTGTAAGAAAGTCCACAAAAACATATAGCTAGAAACATCTTTCAAATCTTCAAAAATAATCATTGCTAACACTTGTTGAGTCTTTACTACGTGACGGGCACCATGCTAAGGGCTTCTGTAGTTTATTTCATTTAACCTCACAACTTTCTGAGGTAGGAACTACTGTGACCCCTATTTGCAGTTAAGGAAAAGGAGGGTCACAGAGGTTAAGTATCTTTGCTCTGATTTCAGGTCATGCATCTCCAGATGCTGCATTCTGACCCATCATCCTACACAGCATCCCATTGATAATGGCAGGAAACTGGACCGGGAGCCAGTATCCCATCTCAACCTTGGTTTGCCACCCACACACTGAGTGAACGTAAACAAGTACTTAATATCTGTGCCTTCTTATTTTAGAAATCTAAGGCACTGATAAAATGATTTCTCAGTTTCCACTTAATCCGAGTTTATAAATCTATGATTAGCTTTGCTACTTGCTGCCTGAGAAGACTGACCTTTCTGATTCATTCAGGCTATTTGCCCACCTGCTGTCCTATTGGGTCTGGGTGTATCAAATTCCACTATGAGCTCTTTATCCCTTAAGATGTAGGCATAGTGGCTTGAGAATAGGACCTCACATATGACATAGCCCTTTGAGTCTGGGAGTAGGTGCAGGGATTGTTCGATTTGCTCGCAGTCCAGCATGTGATTCTGAAATGGACAACCAAGTGACCCAGGGTGTTGGGTTATGTGTTAAGTGAAGCAGTGACTTGCAGTGGTAGGCAAGAGTTTGAGCTCTAGAGACAGAGAGAGCTGGGTTTAAAGCTTCTCCTTATCCTCAGTTTCCTCATCTACAAAATGGGACAATAACAAGATGTTTGGAGCTGCTTTCTGCCTGAGGCATGCATATGAGGCATATAGTGGAGCCCTGTATGATGCAATGATTAGTCTTGCTCACAACTGTTATTCTATTATTAAGAAACTGGACAAGTTGGACAGTCCTCTGGGATCAAAGAGGAAAGGAGGAAACATGTTCAGAGAAGATAAGTTGCTCAAGGTCAAATAGCTAATAGATCGTGGTGATCACATCATAAGGTATATAAATGTCGAATCACTATGTTGTACACCTGAAACTGATATAATATTGTAGGTCACTATACTTTAATTTAAAAAAAAAAGAAAAAAAAGAATACTTCACAGAGCAGTGTAGCACTTGAATGGCAGATTTGACTAAATGCTAATTTCATAGCCATGAAATTCTGTATGTCTCCGACCTGGTAAAATAAGCTGTGTCCTTCACTTTTCTTTGAGACGCCCCTCCCATCACCAGCTATAACTAGAAGTTGGCAAGAACCACAAACCCTCCTCTCCTGTGATTTGGGGAAAGGGTTCCTCTATAAGACTGATCTCTCCATCTTTCTTTAGGACACAGATTGTTCCCACAGGAAATATGACTGCCCAGAAATGATGCTGTATTTGGCACTGTCCTCACCAGCCTACAATCTTCTGTTCCTCACCAGAGTCATCTCTGGCACTTGCTGGAATTCCATTTTATATGGCTTTTTCTTCTTTTTATTTGCTCCCTCTCAAAGTAGTTATGTAATTAACAATGCTTGAAGTCAATATATGACTCAACGACAGTGGTTCCCAAACAGGGATGATCTGTCCCTCCATTCCCCCGCCCCCAGGGGACATTTGGCAATGTCTAGAAATACTTTTAATTGTCACAGCTGGGGAGAGGGAGTTGCTGTCATCTAGTAAGTAGAGGCTAAGGATGCTCCCGAAACTCCTACACCACACAGGACAGGCTTCGACAAAGAATTTTCTGGCCCAAAACAACAATGATGCCAAGATTGAGAATCTCCGCTTTGTGATGCTAAAAGCACTTACATATCTCTTTGCCCATTTGATTCTTATCACACCCTTGGGATGAAAGCAGGTCAGCGTCCACATTCATCCTCTACCAGATAAGAGCGGCGCAAAGCCAGAAAACCTTAAAGTAGTAAATAAGTGTATTTTCTTAAGTAATCACATAATATTAGCTTGAGAAAGATCCTTAGAGATTATTTAACGTAATTCTGTCATTTTATAGATGGGAAAAAAATATAGGCACATGCCACAAAGTAGATGCATTTGTGGAGTAGAGTAAGCTAGAAACGATTTCCCTTCTGTTCGTCCATAAATTGGACTATTGGCCACTGTGCTGGAGAAAAATATTTGAAACCTCAGTTGTCTGTAAGGGTATTTATATGGGAAAGATACAGCAAGAGCTATACAGAAACAAACTCAGGCATCAGATACTGGGGGATTTAGAGAGTTGGAAAGAACAAAAACGGTCCAAAAGAGAAAGTAAGTTAGGTAAAAATAAGAGTTCTAGAAGGTGAGGTGAGGACTAAAAGAAGCAGGAAAAGAGAAAGAGAAAGAAAAAAAAAGGAGGAAATTATACATTTCTTGTGTGTGTTGGGATTCCTGTGTGTATTAAAGTCTCTTGAATAACAAGAAAAGAGAATCTGTCACACAAACTAAACTTAAACTGTAATTTAAAGAACCTTCATTATTATTTTCTGCCAAAAAAATTAACCTGTACTTATTATTTTTAAAATGCGTATGGAAAATATAACATAGAGCATGAGTTTTTTTCCTAGTCTCCCTCTCCCCTGAGATAAACACTATTAGCAGCTAATTTTCCAACTCTCTTTTCTAATTTACATTCTATATTATAAACTGTAATTTAAAGAACCTTCATTATTATTTTCTGCCAAAAAAAATAACCTGTACTTATTATTTTTAAAATGCGTATGGAAAATATAACATAGAGCATGAGTTTTTTTCCTAGTCTCCCTCTCCCCTGAGATAAACACTATTAGCAGCTAATTTTCCAAGTCTCTTTTTTAATTTACATTCTATATTATAAGCTATTAACTTTTTTTTTTTTTAACAAAAGTGATATCTATACAAAATAGTGTCTCGATTTTTCATTTGAAATGAATAATGGACATATTACGTATAATACATATAATCACATTAATATAGAGAGAGGTATCACGTTCTCCTTCCTGTCTACACAGTATTCTATTATTTGGATGTATCATAATTCATTCATGATAAATATGTATTTTCATTCTTATGTGACTACTTCCATATAATAATTCCTACAAGTGGAGTTCTTGTGGACCTCTATGGAATCACAGTGTAGGAAACGTACATTTAAAATGTGACAGTCCCACACCCCCTTGAAGGAGCACCTGAATCTTCCCGCTGGAAATACGCCCTCACCCTCAGAGCGATTCCACCTCTGGTTGGCACGTCTCCCAATCTTCTTTCTCCTCGGTGGCAGCTCCGCGTCTGAGTTAACGCCCAGTGTTCCCCTGGAACAGGAAGGTTGGGTGAGAGGAAAACGAGTGTGAAGTGAAGATTCCAAAGTTTCATTAGCTGCTTTCAGATCTCTCCTTTTTTCTGCTGATCTCACCTAAACAGGCCCTGCCAAATATGCATCTTGGCAGGCTTGCCAACCAGTGAAAAATGAACCAAGAAGGACAGCTAATTAGGAGATCAAACAACTCATAGATAGAACTGAGTAACTAAGACCTTCTGGAGATGTTTCACTGCTCCAAATATCCTAAATAAATCATGGGCCTTCTAGGGATGGTTCTTTGTACTTTGTCCTGAAATTCAAAGCAAAGTCACAGTATTCTCTCTTAAAATGAAAGCTCTGAACTGAAACCCCAGTAAAAATCAGGCCTAAGATAAGAGATCATCCATCTCCAAGTGCTTACCCTGGAGAGACGGGCCCTACCTAGGTCAGAAAAGCTGTTCCCTGAAACCCCAAGCCCCCCGAAGTGCTTTAGCGAATAAAAGCCTAGTTCAAATACCTTGGCAAACACCACACACTCTGTTCCCCTCTTAAGTATTCACAAAGCGTGAGTCTCTGAAGAGGCTTCAAGAAACCCCCTGGGCCAAGAAACTCGTTTAACATATTAATAGCCCAAGTTACTCCTTTGGGAACAAGGCCAGCTGCCAAGTTTTGCCTCCATTCTTCCTGCCCCACCCTCTAGAGACTGCTCAAGAAATGGTTACTGTGTAGGAATCACATAAAGCCAGTTTACAGGTAGTAAAGCAAGATACTGAGATTCAAGATGGTAATTATAGCAGGTGTGTCAATAACAGAAATGTTAAGTCAACATTCAAAAACTATTTACTTAGTACCTATTAGGGGTCCAGCAGTAGGAATATAATAACATGCAACAAGGTCCCTCTTCTCGGGTCTAATCTTCACACCTGCCACTCCACTCTCACCCCCACCAAAACATCCTCAGTGGTTCAGGGAGCTGGGAAGCCACTCTACTGAAGAAAGAATATAACTACTATTATTCCTGAAAAGGGTTCTCCTGTGCTCTGAGTTAGGAGTAGAGAGAAAGTTGAACGGAAAGATAAGGTTAGCTCTACTGACATTTCAATGCAAACAAGACACAGAAGCTGTGAGCACTTTGCCAGATTCTCCTTATCTATAAAATTATATGAACACACAAACCTTGAAAGCCCAGTTGTTTGCATTTTATTGTCACAACAACCAGAACTATAATGCATATGTTTCTGAAGTGTGTCCTAGAGCCCTGGTGAATGTGTGGAGGTTGAATTCATCGTATCTGCCTCTGGGAGTTGGAGTACAAAACTAAGAATTGAGACAAACTCTTAATGGTATGTGTATAGAAAGGAATGAGCTCTCATATGTTATCAGTGGGGGTGTAACTCATATATTATTAGTAAAAGCTCTTTAAAGAGCAACGCCAATATCTATCAAATTTTAAATACACATACCATTTGAACCATTAATTAATTTAACAAATATTTATTGAATACTATGAGAGATGCTGGTGACCACAGCAGTGAGGAAAACAAGGCTTCTTTCCTCATGGTGCTTACATTCTATTGGGAGAAAGACACGCAACAAACAAATAAGTGAACATACCATATTTCAGGTGATAATAAATGGTGCAGAGAAAAATAAATCAGGTGAAAGGGAAGGTAGAATGCTAAGATGGGATGTGGGTATGCAGGAAAGGCCGCTCCGATCAAGTAAAAACTAAATGGAATGAGGGAGTGAGCTGTGTGGACACCGGGGGAAGAGTGTCCCAAGCACAGGGACAGTATACACTCTGAGGTCAGATGCACTTGGCATCTTAATGAATAGAAATGAAGCCAGTGTGGCCGGCGCAAAGTGAGATAACTCAGAGAGGCGGCGGGGCCCAAAGCATGCAGGAGTAATAAATCAGATTACACAGGGCCTCCAGGTCAGATCAAAATGATCTTACACCTTACAACCATAATTTTATTCCAAGGAGGTGGGAAGCCACTGGGAAGGTCAGAGCAGAGTGCATAATGTACATTTTAGAGAACTCCTGCAGCCTCTTGTGTGGAGAATAGATTGCAGGGAAGCAATGCAGAGGAGAGAGATGAGTTAGGAGCCGCTGCAATAATCCAGTAAAAATAGGATTGCAGTTTGGACCACAGTGGTAGCCATGGAATGGGAAGAATTGATCGGAGGTGGGACAGGATTTACTGATGAGATTCTCTGATAGTCTGGATGTGAAAGAAAGAGGTAGCAAGGATGACTACAAGGTTTTTGGCCTGAGCCTCTGGAAGGCTAGAATGTCATTTACTAAAATGAGGGAAGCTTCAAAGAAACCGAGGGGTTGATCTAGGCAAATTAGGAGTTCAGTTCAAGAACTTGTTGACTTTAAGAAGCATTTTAGACATTCAAATGACGATATTAAGTGGGCAAAGGAATATACAGAACTGGAATCAGGGCAGAGGTCAGGCTAGGAGCATATATTTTAGAGCTGTCCTTGTAAGGTATTTAAGACTACAAAACCAAGCAAGATCTTTTAGAGAGTAGGTCTAGAGAGAACAGAAAAGAGGGCCATATTTTAAGAATTTATTCTACCTGTACATTCACAAATACATTGTGCAAAAGATTGAAAGCGGTGAAAATTCACTGATAAAGAACTGAAGAATTAATTATAGCACCACCTTACAATGGAATATTATTCTGTAGTCTTTTAAAAAAATGAAGCCACCTCTGCTAATATCATCCCTAAAGGTGAAAAACTGAATGGTTTTCCCTAAAATCAGGAACAAGGCATGGATGTCTGCTCTCACCACTCTTATTCAATACAGTGCAGGAAGTTGTAGCTATTTCAATAAGGCGAGAAAAAGAAATAAAAGTCGTACAAATTTGAAAAAAAAAAGAAAGAAAATTATGTCTATTTGCAGATGACCTGATTCTCTAATGTAGAAAATCCCAGGAAATATATTAAAAATAGTTCTAGAATTTTTCAGCAATAAATGAGTTCCTCAAGCTTGCAGAATGTAAAATTAAAACACACACACAAAAATTACATCTCTACATGCTAACAGTGAATCTATGGAAAGCAAAATAAAAAACACAATACCACTGTATTATATCAATCATTTCACAATGTACACATATATTAAATCATCACTTGTACATCTAAAAATAAATCATGTTGTACAACCTAAATACATACAATTTTTGTCAAGCATACCTCAATAAAGCTGGAAAAAACACAGTGCCATTTATAATCATTGCTAAAAAACTCTTAGCTATAAACATGCAGAGTATCTGTCTACTGAAAATTACACAACACTAATGAAATAAAGACCTAAGTGAATAGAGAGCATAGTAAATATTCAACATAGTAAAGATGTCACTTCTTTACTTCTCCCCGAATCTATCTACGGGAGTAATGTAATTACTATCAAAACCCCAGCAAGGATTCTGTATACAGAGACAAGCTTATTCTCAAATTCTTGAGAAAGTCACAGTCCCTAGGATAGCTAAACCAATCTTGACAAAGAACAAGTGGAAAGAATCAGTCTACCTGACTTAATGACTTATTATACATTAATATCATCAAGACAGTGAGGCACTGGTGGATGGAGAGACAAAGATCAATGGAACGTAAGAGAAAATATATAAATATACCCACACAAATATGTACAATTAATTTTTGATAAAAGTACAAAAGCAATTCGCCAGAAGAATGATATGACTCCTTAACAAGTGATATTGGAGTAATTTGACACCAATAGGCAAAAAAAATGAAACTTAATCTAAACCTCACATCTTATACAAAAATTAACTTGAAATGGATCATAGACTTCAATGTAGAATATAAAACTATAAAACTTTTAGGGAAAAAAAGGAGAAAATCTGAGATCTAGGGCTAGGCAAAGAGTTCTTATATTTGACTACAAAAGCACAATTCATAAAAGGAAATATTGATAAGTTGGATCTCATCAAAATTAAAAACTCTTCCTCTGTGAAAGTTTATGGGAGGAAGATAAAATGACAAGCTAGAGACTGGGAGAAAATATTTGCAAGCCACGTATCCCAAAAAGGACAGGTATCTAAAAAATATTTTAGAACCCTCAAAACTCAACAGTAAAAATAAAATAAAACAATCCAACCAGAAAAAGAGCAAAGGACATAAACAGGTATATCAGTGAAGAGACTATAAGAATGACAAAAGCACATGAAAAGATATTCAACATCATTAGCCAACAGGAAAATGCGAATTAAAATCATAATGAGATATCATTATTCACCAAACAGAATGACTAAAAAAAACCGGTGCTATCACCAAATGCTGACATAGATGCAGGAGAACCAGATCACTCCTACATTGCTGGCAGGAATGTAAAATGGCACAGCCACTGTGCAAAAGTTTGGCAATTTCTTATAAAACATGCAATGACCATAAAAACCGGCAATTGCACACTTGGACATTTATTACAAAAACTTGAAAACTCATGTTCACATAAAAAAAAAATCTGTATATAAATATTCATAGCAGCTTTATTCATAAAAAAAAGAAATAACCCAAATGTCCTTCCATAGATAAATGGTGAAACAAACTGTGCTATATATTAATAATGCTCAGCAAGAAAAAGCCAGTCCCAAAATGTAACATACGGTGTGATTCTATTTTTTAATGAAAATTATTTACAAATGGAGGACAGATTAGTGAATGTCAGGAGTCAGGGACAGGGAGGAAGTACAAGGAAGGTAGATGTGATTATAAGGGTCCTTGTGGTGATGGATACAGAAATCCACAAGTGACATAATTGCATAGAACTAAAACCCACACACTCTTCCTAACATGCAAATGAATACAACAAGTAAAACAGGTAATCTGAATAAGATCAGTAGGTTCCATCAATGTCAATATCATGGGTATAAGATTGTACTAAAAGTTTTACGAAATGCTGCCATTAATGAAGACTGAATGAAGAGTATACAAGATTTCTCTATATTATTTCGCACAACTACAATTATCTCATTAAC